CAACCTACCTTCTACCTGAAAAATAAGGAAGAGCAAACTAAAAGCAAAATAAGCCTAAGGAAAGAAAAGTGAAAGATTAGACAGAAATACATGAAATAGAGAATAGAAAAACCTTAAAGAAAAATCAATGAAACCAAATGTCGGGTTTTTTGAAAAGTTCAACAAAATTGACAATCTTTTAGCTAGAATGATCCAGCAAAACAGGGAGAAGACTCAAATTACAGAAATGAAAGGGACTATAATGTAATATGAACAACATGATGCCAACAAATTAGATAATGTCGATGAAATGGACAAAATCCTAAAAAGGTGATAGATGTGTTAATTAACTTGACTGTGGAAATGATTTTACAATGGATATGTAAATTAATTCATCACATTGTACACTTAAATATATATAATTTTGTCAATTGTACCTCAGTAAAGCTGAGAAAAAAGGAAAACAATTCCATTTACAAAAGCAGGAAAAAAAGAATAAAATATTTAGGAATAATTTTAACAAAGAGGGGTAAAGCTTGCACGTAACATTGAAAGAGATTGAAGATGATCTAAGTAAATGGAAAGGCACCGTATATTCATGGGTTGGAAGAATTAATATTGTGAAGATGAAAATGCTCTCAAAATTGGTCTACAAAAACAAAGAAATCCCTATCAAAATCCCAGCTGGCCTTTTTTTTTTTTTTTTGCAAAAATGGACAAGCTGATCCTAAAATTCATATGGAAATATGAGGGACCTTGAATAGCCAAACCATCTTGAAAAAGAATAAAGTTGGGAGCTCACACTTCCTATTTTCAAAACATACTTACTACAAAGTTACGGTGCTCTGAACTGTGGTAATGTCATAAGGACAGATACACAGATCAATGGAGTAGAGTTACAAGTGCAGAAATTTATGGTCTATACATTTTCAACAAAGGTGCCAAGATAATTTAATTCAACAAATGGTGCTGGGACAACTGGATTTCCACAAGTAAAAGAATTAAGTTAGATTCCGTATCACACCATGCACAAAAATTACTCCCAAACTGGTAATTCTAAATTTAAGAACCCAAACTATAAAACTCTTAGAAGAAAATGTAGGAATAAACCATGACCTTAGGTTAGGCAATGGCCTTTTAGATTTGGCCACAAAAGAATAAGCAACAAAAGAAAAGAAATAGATAAATCGGACTTCACCAAAATTAAATCTTTTGTGTTTCAAAGGACAGTACCAAGAAAGTGAAAAGGCAAGCCACAGAATGGGAGAAAATATTTGTAAATCATTTATCTGATAAGGATCTAGTATCCGGAATGTATAAGAAACTCTTATAACTCAAAACTGAAAGACAACCCATTTTAAAAAAGGCAAAGCATTTGAATAGGCATGTCTCAAAGAAGATACACAAATGATCAATAATGACATGAAAAGATGCTCAACCCCATGAGTCATTAGGGAAATGCATATCAAAACCATAATGAATGGCTGACTATAATAAAAAAGACAGACAATAACAAATGTTGGTGAGGATGTGGAGAAATCAGAACCCTCATACATTGTTGGTGGCAATGTAAAATGATATAGCACCTTTGGAAAACAGTTTGGCAGTTTTGCAAGAAGTTAAACGTTGAGTTACTATTTGATCCAGCGATTCCACCCCTAGGCATATGTCTAAGAGAAATGAAAATATATATCCACCCCAAAAAATGAATGTTCATAGCAGCATTGTTCATGATAGGCACAAAGTGTAAACAACCCAAATGTCCATCAACAGATGAACAGATAAACACAATGTGACATATCCATATAATGGAATATTATTCAGCCACAAAAAGGTGTAACATAAGGATACATGTTACAACATGGATGAACCTTAAAAATATTATGTTAGCTGAACAAAGCAAGTAACAAAAGGCCACATATTATAAGATCCCATTTATAAGAAATGTTCAGAATGGGAATATCTATAAAGACAGAAAGTGGATTATTGGTTGCTTTGGGTGGGGTTGGGGTAGTGATCATTAATGGGTACCAGGTTTTTTTGGGGGGGTGATGAAAATATTGTGAACTTTAGATTGTGGTGAACTTGATTATGAATATACTAAAACCCATTTAATTGTGCACTTTAAATTGGTGAAATTTATGGTGTGTGAATTATATCTCAATAAAAACATTTTAAAAACTTAAAAAAAAAAAAAAAAAAACCCAGCCCTTAGGGCTGATGGGAGACTGAGAGGACATACTGGATGGCCTGCAGGGCCTGGCTCCTCATGATCAAGGGTCCGCTGTGGCTCTCTGTCTAAGCTGGAGGGTGGTGGCTACACCCTTCCCAGGCCCAAGCACTGGAATCTGGAGGGAAGAAAGGAGCTCTTGGACCTGCACTGGCCTTGCTGCCGAGAGGTAGCTTGGTGGTGTTTTCTCAGTGCTTCCTTACTCTGGGACTTTCTTTAAGGGCACTTACACACAGCGTGAGGCCCCCACAGTGATGGGGACGTGCACTCACACCGACCTGGGTGATTTGTAATCTGAACAGCACTTTCGCCATCCTTTTCGGTTGAGTCATTGCACCAATCCTGAGAGAAGTGCTGTTATTCCCACGTAATAGAGGAACCTGAGACCAGAGAGGTGAAGAAGGTTGCCAAAGGTCAATCAGCGTGTTAGGAGCAGAGCCAATGATCCCAGCCCAATGATTGCTCTGTTCCACGTCTACGCAACGTCTGGTCCACTTTCTGCTGAGAAAGGGAAAAGGACAGGACAGGGTCAGCCCTTCTGGTCTTTGCTTCTCATCAGGGATAAGGGTCATTGCAACATCTTTATGGAGATAACAGTGCGTAGGGATGTGGCTGTCGGGTCTACTGAGAGGTGAGGGCTCCAGGCTGTTCAGTGATCTCACCCCAGCTTTGCTGCTGCTGTTGTTTGTCGCCAGCAATAGTGTGTTGGAGAGCTTTACTTTGCTAAGTTAGGGGAGATCATAGTTGTTGAGCTTCTAATGCATAGTCAGCAAACTCTCGTTTCACTGATGATGTTTACCAGGAGCCCAGATGTCTCAGGAGGGCAGGCATGTCGTATCCCCTGGAACTCCCAACGTGCGCCTCCCCTCTAGAACCCATCCCAGACAATGCTCTACTCCTTGGGTTTACAGAAGTGTTTATTAAACAGCTCTGATAATACACTTTGGCGTTTGCTTCTTGTGACCTGGTCATCCATCCCCACTCTGCTGACTTGGGCTCTGAGAGCAGAGCAGAAGCGTTGGGTTCCCCAGAAGCCTGCCATGCCTGTGCTGTGTGGGGGTCGCATGTGACATTCCCCTTCTGCATGTGACAGGTGCAGGAGCCCTGGCTCCTCTCCACGTGGGCTCCTTCTGTGCACAGGGGGCCTGCCTGGGACACCTAGCCCATTAGGAATTGGGTGCCATTCCCATCTACCAATAGCCGCATTGTGTTGTTCACTCTCCCCTGACTGTGGACCCTCGGATTCAGAAGCTCTTCCTCGGTGGCAGCTCGGGAGCTCCGCTGCTTCCATCCTTGAGGACTCATGGGAACGTATTTATTTGCTTGTTCTCACTTGGTTTTACCGGAGAACTGGGTTATTGCGGGGAGAGGGCTGCTCATTTGGGACAGCTGTTGGGTTTGGGCACCAGACTGATCATGCGGCTAGCCCTTATTCCCACGTTTGCGAAGTAACTCTTGGGGATGTTGAAAAGTGCACAGGAATGAACACATGTTTCTTATCTAGGCCTTAAAGCATGTGTTCTAAGGGTTGCTCTGCAGAACCCGGGTGCTTGCACACACACACACACACACACACACACACACACACACCCGGGGAAACAATATAACTATTTCTTCAGATTGCTTGCTCATTGAGATTACCTATGAAGAATAATGTGTCTGCTCTTCTTGCGACAATCCCATGGACTAAAGGACACTTTTCAGAAACAAATACCATTTTGCAAATCTTTGAAGGAATATCTGATTGAAATTTCTGTGTTCATTCTAGGTTAACTGTCACTTCCCTAGCCCAGTGGCAGAGAGCTAGCCGGCCTGCCCACTTCCCTCCTATCCCCCCTCTATCCCACCTCTTCCCTCCCTTACATTTAAAACAAATGTATATTTATCACCCATTCTGCCACCAGGCCCCTGAGCATGGCAGGGCTGCCCCTCTGTGCCATGTGTCTGGGGAGCACAGCCTCCCTGGTCCCCCACACACTGCAGGGGCTGGATGCTGTGCTGGAGCATGCGCTGCTGAATCCTTGTCGCCGTCCCAGATCTTTCGGTTTACATCATCTGCTTGGAATCTCGGGAAAGTTCATGTGGTGGGGATGCGGGGAGTCCTCAGCGATGCTTCTGGAATGAGTCTGGCTTTCCCTGCAGTGAGCACAGAGCGGCATTGTTTCCTGAAGGGCTCTACACCTCCTGTTGCCCAGCCCCAGAGCACGCAGAGAATGCGGCCCACAGGTCCCGCGGCTCCCATCCTGAGGCCTGGCAGCCTTGCCTTCCCTCTACATCGGGAGCCATCTCGCCTGGGGGTTGGGATCTAGGGCTACCTTCAACACCTGCCTTGGAGCTGCTCAAGTAGCCAACACATCCCTGGGATTGTTGAGAGCCGGGTTGTTGCATCAGAGACGGGATGGCCGAGGAGCCCTTGCTGAGCGCTGGGCCCTCGTGTCAGGAACAAGAGAAGCCCGTTGGCTTCCAGGGCTGAAGCAGCCTTATGTGAAGTGGGACTGATGGTCTCTTCTGGGGAAAGCACAAGGATTTCCCCACTCTGTCCAGGAAGGAGGAACCTCTGTTGGCTTGAGGCAGTACAGCTTCGTTTGTGCCTTCCTCCAGGCCTCTGCAGGACCTGCCATGCCACTCGATGGTCCCGGAAGCCTAGCTACCATGGGGAGGTCTGGTCACCCCTTGAAGCCCTGACCTGGGAAGACCCCAAGCTCCCTGGGGGGCCCTCAGGTATCAGGAAACTCCAGGCAGGGCCGTCAATCTCTGCAGACCCCTTGCTGAGTGTCCCCCAGGCTGGAATGAGCAACTCAGAATAGGTTGGCGTCCGTGAGAGAAGACAGGAAGATAGGGGCTTGTGGGGAAGGGATGATGGGAGTGGTGTCAGACGTGGTCTCCTCTGGCTCGCTGTCCCCATCATCCAGGCCTTCAGTGAGAGACGGGATGATTCTGACCATACTGTCTTCAAAGTGCACCTGCTTCTTCTTGACCAGCGAGTCGGCTGGCTCCAGAGTCAGCTCCGTCAGGGTGTCTGGGCACTGGAGGGCACTGGGCTTCTTGGTCCCCTTCAGGATGCTCTTCATGTGGATGAAGAGGGAGCCAGTCCCCTCCTTGAAGGCACCGTGGAAGGTGTAGGTTTGCTCGGTGTCCCCAGAGCCAGTGGTGCTCACGGTGCTGCTGGAGGGGTCCGTGTACCGCTCAGGGGGAGCCAGCACCTCCGGGTCGGCTTTGCTCTTCTTCCGTTTGCTCAGCAGGAAGTAGGCCAGGCCGGTGATGATGAGCATGGAGCCTGGAAGGAGATGCGGGAGGTCAGGATGCTGGACGTGTGCTGGGGAGGAGCCGGACAGAGCACTGTCCAAGCGCACTGTTCCAAAGGGGCCACCGTGGCAGGCTCAGGCCCTCTGGGCTCCAGCCTGCGCATCACGCCCACTTCTGATTCAGGAGAAGGCCTGGTGTCTGGCTAAGGGATGTCAGCGGGGCCAGTGCCGTGCTGGGCCCTCACCCTGATTGTTAGCCAGGGGGCCCTGTGCCTGAGGCCCCCCGCCTGTTGACAGCCGACCCTGGAGCCACCTGCCTGGCCTCTCACTGCCATGCTTGGCCTCCGTGTTAGGACCACGTGTTGGGCTGGACCTGCAATGCCTGCAGTGGGGCCTGTACCCTATTTTGGATACTGGGCTCCAGCTGCTGAACTGGGCTTCCTTCCATTCCCAGAAGTGGGGAGATGCTCCTTCCTCAGCCTCCCCAGGAAACATGGAGGAAAGTGTAAATCCTATTGGGTGGGGCTGGCCTGGCATGGGGCCCCCTCTTGGGTGCCCCCTCTTCCCCCAGTCTCCAGGCCAGAGGTCCCTCTGTCTCAGGCTGAGATTGCTGCTCTGGGGTCTCCTGCCAGGAGACCCGCCCTATCCAGAGGAAGCCTCTGGGCGTCTCTCGCTCTCCGAGGAGTGGGCGGTGGTGGCTCGCCCTGGCCTCGGCAATGCCGAATCCTCTGGAGTCCAACAAGGGCCGTGCAGAGTGGCCTTGAGATGCAATGACAGGTACATTAAAAGAAACCACAGGAAGGAAGAGGAGGCTCTGCCTTTCAACTTTGTCTCCCTGAGCAGTCAGCTTCCTGGCATTTTGGGCGGGTCACGAGGAGGGACATGGTTTTCACAGCTAGGGAGCGGGGAAGAGAAGGCTACTAGCAGAGGAGGTCGTGGACAAAACCCAGGGGTGGGAGCACTGAGTCCTGGCTTCTAGCTGACTAGCACGGTCTATGAGGTGGAGGGGAAGATGATGAGGCTTTGAGGGTCCCATCACGGCATGCCTTCCAAAACCAGGCTGAGGAGTTTGGACCTGAATGGGTAGGCACTGGGGAGACATGGAAGGGTTTGCACAGAGAATTGACCATCTCACACCCTCTGAAGGCTCTGAACACACATAGGCATTGGAGGAAGGGTCTCCGTTTGTGGGTGCAGCCTCTGGACCTACATGAAGGGACATTCCTGCTACTTGATCAGCGTGAAGGATGCCTGACCCTTCCTCATCCTGTGATCTAGGCCAGGGAAGTCAGTGGGGCCATGGGGGCCCTGGAGCTGGTGTTACTGAGGCCTGTGTGGGGGGATTCAGCCCCTCCTGCTCAGAGCCCAGGAGCCTGTGGTGGGGGCTCCCTGCCTCCACTAACTCCCGGAGCTCCTACCTGGGATGGTCACGTGCCAGACCAGGACAGGGTGGAGAAAGCAGGCCACAGACAGCAGCATGTACGCCAGGAACTTCTGGAAGCAGCCCAGCCAACGGGCTTTCTCCCTTGCTCTGGAGGCCAGGGACTCTGGTCGACACCTGGCGGGAGGGAGTCCAGGATTAGCAGGCAGTGGGAAACAACCCAGAAAGGCCCAGAACGTGTGAGGCTGGGATGGGGTCCTGCTGTGCCCATTTCTCTTTAGTAGCCTCTGGCTGAACTCTCCCCAGGGGCTGGAGTCCTTACCATGGGTTCCACAGTCCAGGGTCTTGCCTGAGTCCTTCCACAGGGCCTATAATTTTTCTGAAAGGCTGCCTTGCCCTGTCTTTCTGTCAGGGGTGAAGGGAGCTAAATGATACCAGAATTCAGCAAAGTCAGAGGGAAGGAGAATAGGAGACTCAGGGGCCCATTGGGAGGTCCCCAGTGGAGTGGAGAAGGCACGCAGTATGGGAAACAGCTGGCCGGGACAGCTGTGTAGACTGTGCACTGCACAAGCCGCCTGGCCACCTGAGTGAACAGGCTGGAGTCCAGCTCCACCTTGCTCACAGAGCCTCACTTAGGCATAAGATGGCATCAGCCCAGAGGGGCTTCTTTTTAAACTGGCCCGCAGGGACCACACATGGGCCTGGCAGAGGCCTGATGCCCAGCAGGTTTCCTCAGCGGTGTTGCCTCCGGGTTTCAAAGGAGAAAAGGGCTTCCTTTTAGGTCCATCTCCTTCATCCTGTGAGTTGGTCTGGAGCAGGGATCTGCCCAGGCTAGTTTGGGGGCAGTGGTGGGGGCTGGAGGATGACGCGCGCTGGTCGCGAGCACGGTCCTCCTCCCACACACCATGGCCATGGCTCACTGGTGCCCTCTGGTGGACATTGTTTTGTGACCAGACCCTGGCTGGGAGAGGAGGGAGTCCAGAGGGGGGGTGAAATGCTCCTTTGGATTCAGGGCTCCTCCCTCCCTGTCCCAGAGACGTTGCAAAGATCCCTTGACAGTGCCATTCATCAGAAAGGAGGAAGCCTGTTGCCTCAGGGCTGATGACCTTGGGAGGCAGCTGATGGCCTTGCAAGGTACTGGGACAGCTGAATTTGAGGCCTGGCTCTTTCTCTGACTACCTAGAGATGCAACTGTTGAGGTTCTGAGAGCTGTGGTCCAGGGACAGCCGTTGGCCACACTGATGACAGCTTCTATGAACTGAGCACTGCTGGACAGCAAGTATGGGCCTCCATGGCCATGTGGCTTCCCGAGATCCTTGCAGCCCCTGACTTGTGCCTGGGTCCTAGCAGGAAAAAGAACCAGTTCTCAAATCTAGCTCTGCTTACTCCGCAGGGTCCTCACCTCTCCATGGGTGCCTTGGATGGCAGGTGCAGCTACGGGCTATTCTTGGAGGTGGGGATGGACTCTGCGGGGGCTTCTGGGTGGGAACGGACCCTGCGTGAATGCTTCCCTCCACTCCCCTGGTTGGGAGCAGAGAAAGGGGACCACTGAGCCCTGGGGACCTGAGCCCATGTCTGGGCAGGGGCTGGCTGCACGGTGGAGAGGGAACCCGTCCGCAGCTGCTTTGGGAGCAGGCCATCACGTGGGCTGTGGCTTCACGGGTGGAGGAATCTGGGGGTGTCTGGGACTAGGAGGTGGTGGAAGGGCTGCTCTGGAGGCTACTTACTGGAAGCAGGCGGCCAGCAGCTGAGCCACAAAGTAGGCCCCTTCACACACGGAGATGACACTTCCTATAAACCTGTGGTGGAGACAGGGAAGGGAGGTCTGGAGACATCTGATCTGCCCTTCGGTCTCCCAGAGCCTGTTTTCCCACAGCATCCGGGACTCCTGGCCATACAGCCAACAGACTGACCAGGAGTTCCTGGCCTAATGCCGCCCCCCAGCCAGCATCTGCCAGGAGCTGCCTCCGTGCCAGGGTTGGGCTTCAGTGGAGGGGTGCAAGCCCAGGCCCAGAGATGGGTGAGAGGCTGCCTTGACCCCGGCCCCTGTGTGGCCACTGGCAGGCCCGTCATCCTACCTACTCTCACTAGCATGACATGCGCTGCTTGGTTGTATGAACTTGAAGGCTGGATCTGTTCCAGACTCCTTTCCTTCTCCCTCTTTGCCCACTGTTCAGTCTCTGGCCTCACCTATATGACCTGAGTTTGGGCACTGCCCCCTGACCCCTGCACTTGACTCCCCTTTTCCGCCTCCCTAACTCCCCGCCATCCCCTCTCCCTTTCCTGTTCCTCCACTCCATCCCCACTGGCTGCCCTGAGGCTCCTTCTTACACCTGAATATGACCGTGGTCTTCCCAATCCACATTGCTTCAAAAGCTCCTCATGTTCCAAGTGTGGTCCAGGGAACTTCCAACCAGAATCTTCTGGGAAAGATGTGAAATCATAAATTCCTGGGCCAGCCTCAGACTTTATATATCAGAATCTTCAGGAATGGAGCTTATATGTTTTATTGAAGGGTCCTACTGGCCTATAAAATTGAAATTTCTTAATATGCCTTTAAAGCCTTACATGAACATCCCTAGTCCTCTGTCTATACAGGAAGCTACAGGGCCTTTGCACAAGCTAGCCCCTCTTGGAAGGACTCCTCTTTCCTCCTTTATCTGTCTGGTGACCTCTTGCTTCTCCCTGTTTTACTGTGGTCCCTCAGTTACCAGTCTGTGAACTCCCTTCGTCAGCTCCCTCCCTAATTCTTCCCTGCAGCCCAGGCGCACTCTGGGAATGGCTTATTGTTAAGTGCTCCATGGACACCACTGGAGTGAATGAACGAGTGAAAGGGGGTACTACCTCACAGGAGAAGGTGGCTTGGGGCCACAGTTTCCTCAGGGACCTGGGCATTGCCCCTGCTACTGATCAGCTGTGTGCCTATAGGCAAGGGGCTTGACCTTCCTGTGCATCAGCGTCCTCATCTGTAAACTGACGGTAATTACAGGCGCAAGATTTGAACCCAGCCCTTAGACTCCAGAGCCTAGGTTCCTAACAAGCACACCAGCGTGCGTGCTTTGTAAAACAAGGGCCATTGCCTTTTTCTAGATCCTGGGATGGGGGACAAGGAGGAAGCTGAGGCTTGGGCAGTAGAGTGACTTGCCAGGTGTCCCATCTGGTGCTGTGGAGGCTGTGCCTCTTGAGGCCAGGAAGGTCTGGTCACTCAGGTGGGGCAGTGAATCCAAGCCCAGAGCCCTGCCATGGTAGCAGGATCCCACAAACCAAGCCTCTGCCTGGGGCGCCACACCAGCCACACAGACCCTTCAGCCAATGGTGTGGCTGCTGTCTGTGGGCGAGCGTGAGGAAGGCGGCGAGGGGCCCTGCGGGAAAGAGAAAGATGGGGAGGAAGCTGGTGCGCAGAGAAGTGGAGAAGAACAAGGAGAAAGCCCATGATAGCTCAGTGCCTTTGGGAGCCTGCTCTGAGCCTCGGCCCCTGCCGGGTCCCGGGGACACAGGGGAGGGAGTGACAGTGACACAGGGGTGTGCTACAATCAACCAACGTCCTGAGTGTGGGGGTACACGGAGGCAGGAGTCTGAGATCTGCAGGGGAGACTGCGTGTGTGTGTGTGTGTGTGTGTGAGGGAGGGCGGCAGACAGGGAGGAGGGAGGCGTTGCGATGGCCTTTGAGGAATGAGTGGGGATGAGTGAAGGAGGGATGGGCAGGCAGTCAGGGGCTCCCATCCCGGGCGGCTGTGGAGCAGTGCACAGGGAGAACATAAACTAGCTCACAGCGAGTGCTGGGGGGACCCTGAGGCTGGAAATCATGTCTTCTAGACTGGACGACCGAGTGACCAGAGGGGCCTGGTGTCCCCTGGGGACAGGGACAGAGCAGTCAGGAAGGGGCAGGGTTCTGGGCAGAACGCGGTTTGCATTAACTGGCTATGGACCTGACCTGTTACAGGAGGGCAATCACACCTACCTCTTACTTGAAGTGAGGTTTGTGGGTAAGCTTGGTAGAGAGAGGAGGAGAGGAGGAAGGCCAGGCTGGCTTCTGGATTCCGGGGAGACAGGGCGCGGTGGCCGGGGACAGGCTCAGTAAGACATGGAGCAAGTTCAGAGCGAAGAGAAGTCACTTCCAGGCAGGGGGGGCCCCAGGCTCGGGGCAGGTTTCCCAGGGCAGAATGCCAGGAAGGAATATCAGACTTTGGGAATGTCCAGGTAGATGGTAAGTCACCCTGGGTGCTCAACGGGATGAGCAAGGGCTTGGAGGTGAGGTGATGTAGGTGAGTTTGAGAAAGAGTCAGAAGCTCCTGAGGTGTAAGTTGGGTGACAAGAAATAAAATGGAGACCAGGAGATGGCAGAGGAATAGGGTCTGGAGGCCGTGGCAGTGGCTGAAGGTTCCGGAACAGCCCCGTGTTTCTAGGTGGCTAATTTCGTGCCAGAGTGGCAATGGGCTGGACGGGTGGAGGATGGATGGAGACGGTGGGCGTGGTGACCTAGCAAATCCAAGAGCTGCCCTGGGCAGCGAGGCAGGGATGAAGATGGATGTGGACGGGGAGGAGGCGGCTTGGTGACCCCGCAGGACAAAGCACAGGTGCCCCGTGTCCCTCAGGATGGGGCTGCTGAGGAGCCGGTTGTCAGAGCCGGCTGGAACCCCAGGCTGTCCTCTGTCATCAGGCCACCACTGCACAGTGATGTCCTCCCCGCCGGCAGGCATTTGTGAGGCAGTTGGCAGGGAAGAGAGGACAGAGGCTAGGGACCTAGATGGACCCAGGCCTGAGTCTGGGCCCTGCTGCTCATGAGTTTGTTGGGCTGAGCTGCTCACTCCCTCTGAATCTTCTAATCTGAAAAACTAGGACAGTATGCCCTTCTCCGGTGCTGTCAGAGTTAAAGGACAGACGTAAATAAATCGTTTTTCTGTGCTTGGCATGTAGAAGGGCTCAAATACATAGTGTTTGGATCTGATTCCTCTCTCTCTAAAACAAGAACTCAGTTCATGTTTGCTGAACAAAGAGATGATTGAAAAGATAGATGGGTGGATAGATGGCTGGCTGGCTGGCTGGTAGCTGGCTGGCTGGCGGGCTGGATGGGTGGACAGACAGACAGACGGATGAATGGATGGATGGGTGGGAGGATGGGTGTGTAGGTGGATGGATGGAAGGATAACTGATTTATGGGGTGATCTGACCAAAGCCCTGCCCAAACCAGAGACTATCCTAGAAGCCCCCTCTACTTCTTCCACCTGAGGGATGTGATGGAGTTAGCATGGGAAAGGGGTGGGGGCTGCTCTGTGTTAGTCTGACAGACTCGGGGTGAGCCAAAGCAGAACGTGCAGGCAGGGAAGGGCACATGCGCACATACTCACAGCAGATAGAAAGCCAGGCTTTTGAACTGCCCCTGGAGGAAGGTCTCAGTGCCCACGCCGATCAACACTAAGAGGGGAAGAGGAGAGGGGAGAGTGGGCCCGGGTGCTCCAGCCACATGGCGGCCCTGTGGAAGGTTCCCTGGCTGGGGAGTGAGCCTTCTCCCTGGGGACTGAGAGCTAGGATAGGCTCTTCTCCACGTGGCACAGGGATTGGTGGCTGGGAAAATGCAAGGGAGCAGGGAGCCTTCTGGATTGGTCTCTGGAAACCAGAGAGGTTTCAGGCAGAACCCCAGAGGTCTTTTACTCCAGTCCCCAGAGCACAGATGCCTTTCCTTCTCTGCCCACATTGGTCGTGCCACCACAGAGAGCTCATGCTCACAGGTCACCAGCCCCTCTGCTCCACAGCTGTCCTCCACATGTCATGGCTTCAAGGGTCCTCACTGTCCTGCAGGCCATACCCGTATGTGCCGTGTGTCTGGGTTCAGTGCTTGGCCGTGGGTGGGACCTCCCCAGATCACTGTTCTAGCTGTTTCTGTGACCCCATTTTCACTTGCTTGTTTGGTGGCTGTATCACACAATCCTGGCTCCTTGCTTTGGACCCAGTGCTGGTTAAGCCCCTGGGGTTTGCTCTGACACAAGAAGCTGATCGGCTTCGTCCTCCTTCTTACCCGTTCTTGGCAGTTGGTATTTGTGCTCAAGCACCTGACCTTCCGTTTGTCCAGGGTGAATATTGTCTTGGACCCAGCTTTCCAGACTTGCTGGCTCCTGGCTGTCTCCACTCTGGTGGGAATGGTGCTCGTGGGGAGGACATTTCCTGGGGGGCTCATGCGTATGGGGGGTGTCACATGGATGAGACCCTCATTGCCATGGCTGTCTCCACCATGTTTAATATGAGGGTGCTAGTATTATTTAGGCAAATGCTTATCTATTTAGTTTTCACTCTGTATCCTGTCCTGTTCTCAGCACTTAGCATGTATTAACTTTTTAAATCATCACAACAGTCCTAGGTGAAAGTATTATGTTATTCTCATTTTACAGAGGGGAAACTGAGGCACAGAGAACATAGGCAAAACCAACCTACCAACCTAGGTCATTCCAGCATTTCAGTCTCACACCTGCCAGTTAACAGCTGAGTCACTCAATCTCTCTGAGCCTCAGATTCCTCCTTATCCCTCTTGCACATAATGGTTATAGGGATTCAATCAGCTGACTGATGCCGAGCACCTCACACGTGCTCAGTCCCTTGCTCATGTTCCCGTGGGCAGTCTTTGGAGATTTGCATGGCCTTGCGGCGAGTGACCAGCAGGTGGCAGGAAAGGGTCTCGGGAACCCAGACCTTTTCCCTGATTTGTTTGGCATGTGGAGAGTTATTCTGATGCTTTTTGATGGAAACAAAAGGTCTATAGTCAAAGGGGCATTCTTGGAATGCTGTAGTGGCAGCCCTGGTTTGCAGTTAAAAAAACAAATCGATGAAACAGCAGAGAAGAGAGAGAGCTGGGTTGGAATCCCCATTTTGTGTGTTCTTCCCTTGGTAACCATGGGTAAGCACTTAGCACAGAAGGGGCTGCTGGGCCGTCCCTGTGGGCAGAGGCCTGAGAGTGGCTCTTGAAATATCAGCCTCCACAGGATGGGCAGGGAGGGCCTTGAGTGTTTTGGGGAGGCTGAGTGACAAGTTCAGACTGGCATTTAGAGAGCGACCTGACCTCGGGCTACAGGGTAAGAGGCTTTGGTGACATTTGGCTGAGTTAAAGCAGCAGATAGGAGGTGGCGACCATGCTCCGGGTGCTCCAGGCCTCCCCATCTCCCAGCACACTGGTAGCCACTGGTTCCTTTGTTGGCCTGGCCTGAAGCAGAGTTCTGGTCGTGGCTCCTGAAGGTGTGCCCGGGTGACCTTGTTTACCGGCTTAATACGAGGGTGCTAGTAGGCACAGGAGCTCAGGAGGGGAGGGTTGGTTCTGCCTGAGGGCTCCAACGAGGAGGCTCCCCAGGCACAGAGAAGGGCCTGCCTTGCCATTGCAGCCTATTTTTTTTTTTTTTTTCAGGGTAGCGGAAGGCGGAAGCGTGGGACCAGAAGGCATCTGGGTTTGGAAGCCCCCTGGGTGTGCCAGCCCAGCTGCCTCTCAAGGAAGTCCCAGCACGTGCCGCACGCTGCACTAGCCCCCTGCCCCGTCCCCCCCCACCCCCGCATCTTGTGTAGTCTGCACTGCATCCCTAAAGGTGGGAATCATCCACCGCATGTTATTTATGGAAACATTCCAGCCAGGCCCCTGGAGGTGCAGCACCTTGCCCACAGCATGCTGGTGGGAAAGGGCAGAGGGAAGCCAGAAGCAGGACTGACTTCCGGGGGCCCCAGGAACCCCCAGCAGAGGAAGGACTCTGGTGGGAATGGTGCTGGTGGGGAGGACATTTCCTGGGGGGCTCGTGTGTATGGAGGGGTGTCACATGGATGAGACCCTCGTTGCAATGGGCAGTGGACCAGCTGAGAATGGATTTTTGTAATGTCTGCCACAGGAAGAATCAGGAAACGACCATCTCACTCCCTCAGGGACCTGCTTGGTGCCTAAGCTGCGGGTGAGTGTGGTGACTGTCCAACCGCCCCTCACCCGAGGCCTCTGGCGAGGGGCCCTCAGGCTGAGCAGAGTTCTCTTCTGAATGTCAGAAGTCGCCACAGCCCAATCTCCTTGCCCAGGGCAGTTCTGCCCAGCAACCCAAGAGTTCTGGTAGGCCAGGGCCAAAGTCCCCAGCGATCAGCCTGCACCCTCGTTTATGGCACATCCCGAATGCTGGGCCTGGGCAAAGCAAGGCTCTGCGAAGGAACTATGCGCTGGAGCTTGGGCCGACTGTCGTGCAACCTGGAAGTGAAGAGCTGTGGAGGGTGGGAAGAGGCCCCGGCACCCTGCCTGCAGGCTGAGTGCAGCTCCATTCTGTCTGGGAACCGAGGACAGCTCCACAGACAAGGAAGGCAAGGGGAGGCTGGGAGCATGGGGCAGCACGAATGAGCGTCTGGGGCTGCTGTGGCCGTGGTTCTGTGGGCTTCTCTGTGTAGTTCCTGAAACTGGGTAAGGTCACAGGTTCTGCCCTGGAGCAGTGACAAGTATGGCTTCCTGGGCCCACACCCTCAAGTCTTTTTGCACCTTGCAACTTCCCCCTACCCCTCCGAGGGAGCCAAGTCCACTGAGAAAGCTGTGCCCTGTGGTGCTGGGGGAAAATCCCATCCCCACAGTCCGGGTGCAGAGAAGTACCCTGGGCATTAGACCTGCTTTTTCGAGAACTTACTCTCCTCCCTAGCACTTATCTCCCCAGAGGTCTCCTGGGCTTCTGAACATCACACCAGTTGCCATGACTAAGGTAAGTGAGCCAGGAATGGTCTCCTTGTGAAGATATTCCTGCTGATCCCTGGGGCAGCTACACTCCCAGAGACCGGACCTGGTAAGCTAATTGCTGGGCTCTCTGGCAGAAAATGGGAATTGACTCCCATGTACTTAACACTGTTAGGTGAGAGAGATGGCCCTAATTATGGCAATGCAATTTGGGGTTTCTTTGTTACAGTAGGCTGCACTGATGGAAGCTGCCCAGCAACTCTTTGCAACTCCTCTCATCAAGAGGTGGAGTCTCATTCCCCTCCCCTTGAATGTGGGCTAGTCTTAGTGACCTGCTTGCCCAGTAGAAAGATACAGACTTACACTGCTGATTCACAAAAGCTTCCACCCAGCCCTCTTCAAATGCTTGTTCTGGGGGTAGCCACCCCCCTTGTAAGAAGTCTGATGCTCCTGAGACCACCATGTGTGAGGAAGCCCAAGTGAGCCATGTAGAGAGAATGCTAGAGAAAGAGAAAGACAAAGAGAGAGAAAGAGAGATTCATGGTCAGCGCCCCGCTGGCTCAGCCCTCTCCATCAGGCATAGACGTGTCAGTGAGGGAGCTTCTAGATGACATCCCAGCCCCAGCAGGTACGAAGCGGAGAAGAACAGATGAGCTAAACCAACAGTCAGAAGTAAAGAGCCATGGCAGCCACCCCACCTGAGATCTCAGCCCTCATGCAGCTGAGATGAGCTGTCTCTACTGTTCTCTGCCTGAATTCCTGAGCCACAACATTTCAAGCATAATAAAATTGATGTAGCCTTAGGTCACTAAAGTTTGGAGTGGTTTTATTATGAGGCCACAGATAATTGGAAAAGCAGCTTATCCTATCCTCTTAACTACCTGAGATTTTTGGCCCAGAAGTCCCTGTGTCTGGTCTGGTCTATATTCTGACTCTCAGCAGGGAGCGTGCCCCCAAAGCCCCTTGGGCCTCTGGCCCTTCTCACTGGTCGCCAGCTTGGTTGTCAGAAAGCCAACTAGTGGGCTCCTAGGTCCTGCAGCACCTCTCCCCCTGCTTAAATTCAGGCACAGCCTGGGAGATGCAGTCTCCTAGGAGTGGGGTGGTGTCTGGGGACTTCTTTTAGGCTGTAGAATCCTATTGGCAGTATCCTATCTTAGGATTTCATGCAGGATTGGTGAGGCTCTGCCTCATCTAAAGCAGCTCCCTCTACAGATTCATTTCACAAAGATTCCCAGTGGAAAAAGTGAGGAAAGCAAAAATTGAGACCCTCTAATGCAGGAGAATTTTGTGAACTGCATCCAGTACTCACCCCGGACAACCGCAGAGTCATGGCAACTGGTGTGATGTTCAGAAGCCCAGGAGACCTCTGGGGAGATAAGTGCTAGGGAGGAGAGTAAGTTCCATGGCCGTTGCCATGGAAGCTCCTAGCCTGCTGTTCTCACTGAACTGTGGGGGGAACAAGCTGACTTTGGAAGGCACCAGAGTTCATGTGACAGAGATACAGGACTCCAAGATGGTTTGACTGACGGTCTGGAGTTTCCTAAATGTTTTTCCAGGGGACTAGGTTCCAGAACTGGGGTATTTCAGAAGCCAGGAAATGAGCATAATGTGTGGCCTTAAATTGGAAGGAGTGTTAGGTGAAAAATGGGACTGGTATGTGAGAAGAGGTTTGGTCATCTTGTCTCCTGCATGTCTGCCTCTCCAGGACTATACAGATAGACCACCTGCTCTCTCAGAGGCCTCCTGT